ACAGTATTTTTTACGTATGGAATAGTCCATTATGTTAAATTCATGGGTAAGGTCCCAAAACTCGTCAAAAGAGTTTTTCTTATTTTCCTTTGTAGAAAATTAGCCACGTTTAGTTTTTATTATAAGGAGTCGATTTTAATTTTTCTTATTTGTTGAAAATTAATTATCTAGGTGTACGTTATATTTTTCTTTTTTGGCCATCATTCCAGAATTTATTTTTTACCTATAGGTGCCATTTTTTTTTTATTCTGGGTTTAAAACAGAAATAAAAAAAAATTTCTTGAGCTTGCATTTAAACGTATAGGAATGTTAATTTTTTAGTTTGTCGTTTTTTTAAAAGTTCAAGAAATTTCGTTCTGCCATTTAATTTATAAACAATTTCATGTTATATAAAGTTTTAGTTATTTTCTTTAATACAATGTTTTATTTTTATTTCATGGGTGATAGGTGAGTTCGGGGACAATCTATAACATAAAATTAATACATGTATAAAGATATGGGAAATTTTCAATTAGTTATAACATTTGAAATTTGAAAGTTAACGGAAAACATAATAGCTAATTGAGTAAAACCTATATTATGGAGATCAATTATCCCACGAATTGTGAGATTAAAAAGACCCGCAATATCGCTCTTCAGATTTCACTAATTTAAATATTGATTTAAAAAAAAAAGTTTATTTCAATAATTAATCAATAATCTATAATAAATAAGTCCTTCATTATTGTTCTTCGAGGATCTTTTGTTTAGGAATATTGTCTTATATAGTGTATAAAAATTTTCTTTGAAATTTGCAGGTTTTACGATTTTTGGGATCTAAAGTTGGCATCTATTTGTCGAAACTTTGCTTAAATATAGCGGAAGGTCAATTTATGAATGAAATGTTCATTTAAAATCTTTTTTTCAAAGATTTCATCTTAGACAATATATTTTAATTTGCAAAGCGATAGGGAGGTTGGTTGAATTATTATCTGGTATCTGTTGAGTACGACTCAGACTTACGCGAGATCTACCGACCTAATTGTTCCACTCACTACTGGATTGACTTGTGCTGATCTTGTGCATAACTGTTACCTTTATGCTTATTGTACTGGTTTTTACAATAAACCTTTACTTATTTCATCCATCGTGTTTATGAAGTATATATTCCTATTAGCATGGAATATAACAATAATATAAATACAATGCCAGATTAGTTTTGTTTTTTTGTCAGGGTTATCCATAATTTGTTTTTGTTTCAAATGTCTTTTTGCTTTTTTTTTTTTATATCTGTGTACTATGGGTTGGGTTAAACCTGATATTTTCTTTTAATAAAATATGAGTTGTTTAAAAAATCTAAAAATTTATAGGTTTCATATTTGTATATAAATTATATTTTGCGTTTACAACGATGAGACGACTGCACAAAACTAAAGAATCTTTTGAGTTGCGATTCTGATTAGTTAATAAAGGAATGAATAAAAGAAAAGGATAATGAGAACAAGATGAAAAAGGAACACCACAGCAAAGTAAAACAGAAAGAAAAAAAAGATATTTTTATAAGGAACCGTTGAAAACAGTGTCCTATGTGGGAAATAGTCATAAAATTTAGTAATAATATGTTAAAATATAGAAGGAATGTTTTTTTACAAGACGATATGAGGATCTATCTAGATATATTTACGGATAAAAAAAAGGAAATAAATAGTTTAAATTAAAAAGTTCTTGAGTAAGGGTTCAGTTCGACATTCCAAAGGCCGGCTAGTACAACGGGAAGAAACGTTGAAATAAATATGGCGACAAAGACTGGACAATATTCAATGAATAAGGTTTAATTTATGTAATACCTTTCATAAATATAGACAGATACTGAAAGGCTGAAACGTTGTAATAAATATGGCGACAAAGATGAGGACAATAGTCGAATAATGTAAATAATTTATATAAGGGATCCTCAGAAATTTGACAGATACTGAAAGGCTGAAACGTTGTAATAAATAATGGAAAAGATGAGGACAATAGTCCGAATAATGTAAATATTTTTATATAATACCTCCCGGAAATATAGACAGATGGCTGAAAGGCTGAATCGTTGTAATAAATATGGCGACAAAAATGAGGACAATAGTAATGAATAATGTAAATAATGTACATTTTATTATTTATAGAGCTCCTATAAAATTTTAAATTTCATCATTTAATGACCCATAAGATATGATTTTAATGAAAAAAACAAAACAAAATATTTTATATGCTGTAGATTTTCCTTATCTTTCAACAGAATGGAAACAATCATGGCGTTGGATTTGAAATTTAATTTTTTTGTTGAAAGAATAAGTATTTAGATCTCCCTTTCAAATAACGATTGTATTGACACAATTGATTTCAATTTATTGATGACAAATATATTTTTTTTAATCTTTCAAAGTTGCTATGTTAGTGGTCGAGAGAGAAAATCTTTCAAATGAATAAAGGTTTCACTGTATTTGGTGAACCGTTAAAAAGCTCTACGTTTTTCATTTTTGACTTTCACCTGCCGCCAATTTTATAGGGACGGATTAGCAAGGAAATTATCAATCCTATGGTTGAAAAACTGTTTTGATCGTTCCTCAAAGATTCACTTTCAGTAGGTCGTTGTATTGGGAGTTCAGCTATTTTTGATTAAATATTCATGACTATTTCTCGCGTCTCCAGCAGAATTTATTTTCAAGTTTGCAAATGTGAAAAGTTCAGACCAAATTTACCGAAAATTGAGAGAAACAGCCGACAAAAAGAAAATAAGAAAAAAGTGGCTCATCCAGAAAGTCGAAATATTGTGGGTTTTAATCAGAAAAGAAAAAAAAATGGGCTTGAAAAAGAGGGTTTATGATTAGGTTTGGTCGGAAAACAAAAAAGAATAAAAAATACCAATTTGATTTAAAAAAACAAATCAATATTGTTTTTTTTTTTAATTTTGCATTTTGATAAATTTAAATTGTTATTTTTATTTTGAAAATAAAGTTTTTCCGTTTTCTGATTCTTATTTTGTTTTCCTTCATTTGTCTTTTAAGAATTCCCTCTGAATTTGAAAAGGGAAGAGGAAATTTTGATTTTGATCTTCAGGAAAATGAGGAACAGAATATTTTCTCCTTTTCCAGAGAAATGAAAGAATTCTATTAAAAAAAATCATCAGTGATGTTTCTAGCCGAGGTTCGTTAGGGGTTTCGGATTTTTTCAACATCATGTCCTTCTTCACGGAAACACATAAATAGAACTGATTTTTATAACTTGGGATCTTGAAAATAGCTTCAATTTTTTCCATCTTTATGACATGATTTGTTGCGTAAAAAACAATTATGGCACAAGGCCGAAAGGGCAAATGGGTTGATCTTGATCATCACAATCATCTTAGACCTAGCAAATCCGATTCACGACCCATTCAAAACAAAACAATTTGCGCAAATATTCCTAAAGAAATTCATGAATCATTGAAATACCAAAATACCTCATGTATTCAGGGGAAAGTTACAAAAATTCATCTCCATGACAAAAAAAAAAATCAAAAAAATGAGGGCACAGGTGCGACTCCTCTTAGAAAGTAGAAGAACTCTTAGATAACTTCCGGTTCACTAGCAGGTGCGATCTTTCAATAAAAATTCTTTTCAAATGGATTAAAATAATTTCTATCTGGTCAGAAACATGGCGATGTGGACAACTTTAAATTTGTAAAAAACGATTTGTTCATATTTTGAAACATATACATATTAGAAAACGTTAACACTATGGAAAATGCCCTCAAGAATCACGATTTGGTTACATTTATTCCATTTCGTTCATGTTAATCATTCCTTGAAGAAAAAGGAAAAGAGAGGTTTCTTCCTTTTTTGTTTGAACCTCCCTCTGTTTCTTTAACGTACTACAAACATCAATCTTATACACAATGTATACGTTAAACACACACACACACACACATACAATCAAAAAAAATCTTTCCTGTAACCCTTAAAAAACTTACGCTAGATCAAAGCCAGACACTAACACCTGTAACAATGGTCCGAGGTACCCTAATTCTGTCCCTAGTTGTTAATTTTTATATTTCTTCATTTACATCTGTTATGTTCCGGTTCCTTGTACCACGGTGATAGTCCAAGGTAGAACCAATAAAGAAGAACTCGAACACAGGTATGGAATAACACAGATATATTTCAAACAGGAATATATACAGAGAAGTAGAAGTGTTAGTATGAACAATCAGGTTTAGTAGAGAGAACAATGTCGTCTCGACCAGTATCACTATTCCAATGTCTTGCAGTAATTGTCTGAACGCGACTCTGTTTCGGACTGCCTGACTGACTCGACTCGACTTGACTCGACTGGAACTACTGACGATATTCAGTCACCCCCCACCCGGGGCATCATGGGGCACAAGGCGGTTTAACGTGGGATCTCCGAGAGCGTGGGCTCGGCCTAAAATATGCCCATTGAACCCGTATAAACGGGTTCAGTTTCGGTTTACCTCCCCGAAAGACAATCTGCCTTTCGGCGTAGCCTCTTTCGGGTTCCTCCCCGCCCGAAGGCAGAGAGTTCAACCGAGCAGCCGGTCAAGACTTGAACAACAGACTATATTTAGTCCCCCCCCCATGTGGGCATCTTGTGGCACAAGGCCGGTTTAACGTGGGATCTCCGAGAGCGTGGGCTCGGCCAAAAATATGCCCTTTGAACCCGTATAAACGGGTTCAGGTTCGGTTTACCTCCCTGAAAGAGACTCCGCCCTTTGGCGTAGCCTCGTTCGGTTTCCTCCACGCCCGAAGGCAGAGAGTTTCACCGATCAACTGGTCGACCGAGATCGACTTGAACGACCGACTCCTTGCCTACTCCTGAGGCACAGTATTTATTAAGTATGGAATAGTCCATTATTATTATTATTATGGGTAAAATTCCATAACAGCATCTGTTTTTTCTTTTTCTTTTTTTTTCTTTCATTTTATCCATCATTTATTCGCCCTTCTTTATTTTCATCTTGTTCTTCATTCTTTTTCTTCATGATCTATTTTTATTTTGATCGTCATTCATTTTGCCTTATTTTCTTTTCCCTTATTTTTCTGTATTTCTTCAATTTGATTAGGTTGTTCCTTTTTTCTTCATTTTATCCTTTATTTATTCATTTTTCTTCATTTCAGTTTTGTTCATCATTCTTATTTTTTTCACGACCGTCTTTTTTTCATTATTTGTTTTCATCATTTTTTTTTTACATTTTCTCCGTCACTCTTTCTACTTTGATTCACTACTTTCTTCATTTTTCGTTAATTCATGATCTCTTTCATTTTTGGAATTTTTTAATTTTCAGTAAAAAATTCTTCTTTCTTTTCATTTTTTTCTTTTTTCTATTTTCACAGTTTTTTTTATTCTTCTTTTTTCTTTTTTCCTTCATTTTTTTTATTTTCCTTTTCTTTTTTTATTTTCATTTAATTTTTTTTATTTTCTTCATTTTTTTTCTTTTTTTTATTTCTTTTATTAGTTTGTCTTCTTTTATTTTTCATTTTTTTCATTCTTTTATTTTTTTCTTTTTCAATTTCTTTTATTTTCATCTTTTAAATTCTTTTATTTAAATCTTTTTCATTCTTTTTTTTAATTTTTTTTTTTTTTTTTTTCCTTTTTTTATTTTTTTTTTCATCTTTTTTCAAAATTTTTTTTTTTATTTTTTTTTTTTCATTTTTATTTTTCTTTGAGGATTTTCTTTTTTTTTCGACTTTTTCATTTTTTTATTTTTCATCTTTTTTCATTCTTTTATTTTTTTTTTCCTTTTTTTTTTTTCCTCTTTTTTTCTTTTTATTGAATAGTTTTTTTTCATTTTTTTTATTTTTCATCTTTTTTCATTCTTTTATTTTTCATCTTTTTTCATTCTTTTATTTTTCCTCTTTTTTCATTCTTTTATTTTTCCGCTTTTTCCTTCTTTTATTTTTCCTCTTTTTTATTCTTTTATTTTTCATCTTTTTTCATTCTTTTATTTTTCATCTTTTTTCATTCTTTTATTTTTCATCTTTTTTCATTTTTTTTTTGGTCTTTTTTCATTTTTTTCTTTTTTTCCCTTTTTCCTTTTTTTTATTTTTTTATTTTTCATCTTTTTTTCATTTTTTTATTTTTCATCTTTTTTTCATTCTTTTATTTTTTAATTTTTTCATTCTTTTATTTTTTTTTTCATTCTTTTATTTTTATTTTTCCTTCTTTTTTTTTTTCTTTTTTTTTTTTTTTTTTTCATCTTTTTTCATTCTTTTATTTTTCATCTTTTTTCATTCTTTTATTTTTCATCTTTTTTCATTCTTTTATTTTTCCTCTTTTTCATTCTTCACGTGTCTATATTTCTTTTGCAATATTCATTTCTTATTCTTTTATATATATATTTTTTTCACTTTTTTTGCATTATTCTTCAATAAAATTTTCTATTTTATTCCTCATTTCATCATCATCTTCACTTTGATTTTTCCCAGTTCAGTTGATTACACCGTTTTTTAAGATTTGTCTCAATTTCATTTTCATTGATACACCACGGATTGAATCGCAATATAATTTAAAAATGTATTTTCTTTTAAGGTCTTTTTTTTTTTTTTTTTATTTTTTTTTTGTTTTTCCTTTCTTTCGTATTTCTTTCTTTCTTTCTTTCTTTCTTTCTTTTTCGCTCTCTCTCTTTCTTTCTTTCTTTATTTTGTTTGTGTTGTTTGTTTATTTCTTTCGTTCTTTCTTACTTTTCTTTCTTTTGTTTGTGTTTTCGTTCTTTCGTATTTTTCTTTCTTTCTTTCTTTCTTTCTTTCTTTCTTTCGTTTTTCGTTTATTTCTTTCGTTCTTTCTTTCTTACTTTTGTATTTCTTCATTTTTTAACCCCTTTTTTCCTTTTTTAAAAACTTTTCTACAATTATTTCTACATAACCGTTTTACTTATTTGTTACAGTTTCATTCATTTTTTCCCTTTGCGTATTGTAGTGTTTTCTTTTCTTATTTTATATTAATATCTTTTTATTTATTTAATGTCTGTTAACTGAAGATTTCATGGAAATTCAATTTCGGATTTTAACCTGAACAGACGAACTGAATCAGATAAATATAATGATTCATTTTTTTTTAAATTTCAAAATTTAGGCAGAGACCTTAGGCGTATGGAACTGAAGTAGATTTAGAAGGAACCGGAAACCCAATCCTAAACATTAAACAAGGGATTAACCTTTACTCTTGTTCAAAAGCCCTGGAAGGAGTTCTATTCGTGTGTGTGATACAACAAAAACAGCTCAACATACCGTGGATTTGTTAGGGCAATACCATTAAAAAAAATAAATAAAGACTAGAGGATGAAAGATGACGAAGCCAAGGCAATTTGAAGTCACATCTAGATCTTTGGAAACACCTTTACTCATCAGAGTGGAATGGATTACCCAACCTGAAAATATTTCTAACATGGCCCCACCTATAAGGTTATGTACAGCTTATATTGAATTTTGTAACTATTTTTTGGAGGGGTGGGAGTCTGATCCTTGTGTCTGGTATATGCTTGGTGTTATGATCAGTATAATGGGATTCATATATTTGTACCCAGCAGACTGCTTTCTCACTCAATAACAATAATAATAATAATAATAATGATGATGATGATGATGATAGTGATAGTGATGATGATAATAATGATGATAGTGATAATGATGATGATAATAATGATGATGATAGTGATGATAATAATAATAATAATGATGATAGTGATGATGATGATGGGACCATCAACAATTCCCGTTGTAGTTGGAGCCCTCGGATTGGTTGGAAAAGATTCCAATAGACAAATTTAAGGGATTCCTGGAAGCCCATGCCTTAAAGAAATACAAAAAAATTATTCCCACGAGTACAGCCCACAACTTACGAAGGGCTTTGTAAAATATCTTTTTTTTTCCCAGTGGAAAATGTCATGATGCCATTTCTAACCTTAGGTCGCTGGGTGGGACCCAGAAAGAAATGAAAACACACAAGAAATCAAAGGAAATAAAATAATAATAATAATAATTACAACTAGAAATTACAATGGTAAAAAAAAAAAAAAAAAAATTAAAATGGTGTCCAGACACCAAACATCTTTTTTAGCTAATTTGAGTGCGCTAAATCTGAAAATGACCTTACTTTTTCCTGGTTAGCTACCATTTTTGCTGTACAGAAATGCATCATTTTTGGAAAAAAAAAGCATTTTTTTCATTTGTTTTCTGTATATATGATATTGACCGGTGGCAATATTTCTCAAAATAAAATCGTAGAAACCTCTCATTTCTTATTTAAATCAACAAATATTGGTCTGCTTATGGAGAAATACTATTTTTGCAACAACACTCAGACCTTAAGTCTTTAAAAATAACACGATTGAATATACAAAGACGAACAAGAATTTTCATCAAATCATTTTATTTCTAACAGCAGAAATAAAACATTTATGAACATAAGAAATATGGTAAAAAAATTCACTTTCTTGATTGTCTGTCATGTTTAATGTTATTTAAGTCCTTTTTATTAGTCCAGCAGTATCATGTACAATGGAATAGGTGCACTCAATTGGGATGTCTTTAGTTGGAGTTTCTTTCCAACTGTGTAAACAAAATGCTCTCAATGTGCAACCAAGTAGTGATGGACTAAATATATGAATATCAAACAGAAGATTTTAGGATTTCATTTTTTGATGTTTTAATTATCAGGTTTACTAAATTGTATTACTGATAAAGTTTATCAGTTAATTTGAATTTTTGGGGATAAATTGGAAAAAATCGGTACTTTTTTTTTTAAAATTTTTATCAAAAAATATTTGACTAAAAAAACCTATCTGAAAAAATTGATTGGCCTACCTGAAAATTGATGTGTTTTATTAACTAAATTTTGTGACCAGCCAAGATCGTAAATTGATCTTTTTTCTAAAAATGTACAATTTTAGTACAGAAAAAACGGTAGCTAACCATGAAAAACTAAGGTCATTTTCGGAATCAGCATCATCAAATTAGCTAAAAAAATGTCTTTTGTTTCTTGGCACCAAAATTCGTGTTGACTAGTGTTATCAAGTTAAAAAAACTGAAAAATCAGGTTAATTCATATTCTGTGATGAATATCCCTCAAAATATTTATCATCTTGTATCAGGTTTCACGGTATCAGCATTTACCGAATATAAAATACGACATAAATGGGTAGACCAATATAAGTACTGGAAAATCTGAAACTTTTACGAGAAAGAAACTGCAAGAAATTGGTCTGAACACCACTCAGACCCGTTTACAGATGCGTAACAATTTTATATACTTTACAATAGACACAGAACAATCAAAGCTAATCGTCCAGAATAGTGATCAAAAAGAGAATGTTTTTTCTTATTGACGTGGCAGTTCCTGTAATGTATTCAAAAAATTATCAAAAATTTGAATATTAAGTTTAGGTTCAAAATTGGAGCGTTGGAATTTAATTCCAGTGATCAGTGAAAGCTTTATAGCACGGCCTTATAAAATGTACAACTGAAGCTTCACAAATTGTATATAGACAAGTTGCAGGAGACAAGAACATTATTACTAAACTATTGTGCCATCAAATAAGACCTTCATTTACTTCAAAGGCAAATTGTACTGAATAATTTAATTATATTATGATGTAATATGTTATACAGTGCAGTAAGTTTAGTACGATTTTCCATAAACAATACACATCTAAAACATTTTGTTTTATAATTTGTGCCCAGCAGTATTATGGTGATATAGAAACTTTTATATATCTTTTTTTATTATTAATTATTATCTAACAAATGATGTAAAATTCTCATTCATTGTGTAGAATTTTTTTTTTGTAATCTTTTACAATTTTTACTCAGTGTTTAATTATCGTATGCAGTAAAAAAATGCATATTTTGCTTGTGGTGATTCATAATTAGAATTCTGGTTTGATATATATATATATATATATATATATATATATATATATATATATATATATTCGATTCAGTGTATCTAATACAAAAGATATTAGCTTTATTTGGTTTTATACTTGAAATAGTAAAGCTTTTAACGGAAATTTGGTATTTATGTACATTTTTCAGACGCTCTTTAAAACTAAACTGATAAAAGCTATGAAGCTAATGTACTGTGTCAGTACTTATCACATAGAACGCCAGATTTTACAACGAGTGCAATAATGATTTTCTAAAAAAGTGAAAAAAAAAAACAAAAAAAAAAAACAAAACAAAAAAACACGTCATTGAAGAGAAGAGAGGCAGTTGGAAATTATATTTTCATTGGTGAAAATGAATTGAGAAATGAAAACAGGGAATAAATTCGCTGGTTTCTATTTTCATTGGGACGGCGATCGGTCCAAGGATGGAGAACAGGTTGTCTCTTTGTTGAGAATTTAAGTAAACAAATATATTTTCGTTGACGAAAACAAACTGGGAAACAATTTTATCTATTGCTCGAAAGGTTGAATTAATGGTCTAGTTGGACAGAGGTGATTTTAGGGAAGTGAAAAGGAGTAAAAGAATTGAGATTAATGAGAAGAATAAGTTACACGCTTTCACCTACGCACTTTAAAAATTACATTTGTCACAAAGACAGTTATCCCAGCCGTGACAGGTTCGAGGAGTTAGCATACCGAGAAGGAAGAAGAAGAAATTGAATTTAACTCCGCCTGTGTGAAGTGGTGGTGTGAGATGTGAAGTGAAGCAGGTTGGACTTAAGGGAGAAACAATCTCTGTGACTAGTCCCAAGAAAAGTGGATAATTTTCCAAATTTGGCAAGTTGATTTTGAAATCAAGAATATGGAACAAAGAGTTTTTATTGCAATTAATGTAAAAATTGAGAAATTACTTTCCAGTCCACGCCAGTTTTGGGTCGAAATGCATATAAGCGGATGACATTGGGAGCTCAAAGACTTGGGCTGAGAAACCGCATCGAGTGACTCTGGAATCCGTGTTAGCTGCCACCAGATTTCCTGAATCTAAAGAACTTTGAACCCAGCTCTTCCAGAATTTTAGACGAGACCCATTATCATTATAGGGATTGCTGCGGGAAGGGTTAATTTTTGTACCAAGAACTGTATAAACCAATTGAAGATTAACCCCATGAATCCTTAAGTATATTTTTTGCCGTGAAGATATTTTTCTTCCTTAATATTGCACTCACCACGGCTTGAACCATCGCTGCGGTTACTACGACCTTCTATCTGCCACTGATCTGAGATTAAGTATACAACGTGGATCGAAGCGGTCAGTGACCAACAACCAGCTTGAACCAGCGTCAGCATTGACTAGCGCAGAATTAGCACAGTGGTCAAAACGTCGTCATAAGACCCCGAGGGCCGAACAACTAAACATAGTTACACCACCGGGTGTCAGTAGCTGCCAAAGGTGTTATATTAATTGGTGACTGTGACCAAGGATGTGACCCTGTTGGCAGGTGGTGTAATATATAAATACATCGCCTTTAGGAGGTGACACCCTTTGAATCTTTGTTCATTGGCGGGAGTGTGGGAGCGTAAGGGAAAGACAAGTTATTATTACATAGTTGCATAAAGTCGAATATATATTACATTGAGTCACAGACTTTCTCCACATCTGTTTATTCCAGCATAATCTGAAACTTCATAACTTCTTACTAAACAAAGAATAATTACATTGCAATAAATTGTATCTTTATTATTTGCAATAGGGCATAACCTCTGAAGATAATCTTGGATAAGATTGAAACTACTTGGAAAAATAAAAGAAATAACCAAACCTACGGCATCTTTCTTACTCAGTATTATAACAGTACTAAGAAATCGATCCGTTAAATTCAGAATAAATAGACATAATATGTCGAGACTATTCAACCACACACACAGACAC